GCATTGTGTTGTAGGATGAAAATAAGGGCAATTATACTTTTTAGTTAGCACTGTATTTGCCGAAGCACCTTTTTATTAYAAGAGTGAACTTTTGAGAACAATATCAAAAGAATCAAAATAATTTACCCATGAAACGTCTTACTAGTACCTTTAATCTGTCTTTAGCAACTATGTAGTCAAACAATTCACCTCCTTGGGCATGCTAAAAATGAACAAAAAATTAAATAATGAGTATCAATTGAAATATGTTTGCAAGCATTAATTTACTAGTTTTAATTTTCTATTCTAGAATATTGTTTGTCATAGWAACAGAAGAGAATTCTTAAATGCTTCTTAAATGTGGCAAGGTCATTTTTAAGGGCAACCATGAAATAAGACTCTTTAAGTCTTTGTCCTGAGGCATTCTGGCTGTGTTGACATCACAAGGTGTCATTGTGGAAAACYTATCTATTGACAACTTTACAGTTTCATCATCAAAATAGTGACATCAAAATTTTTGTCAAAAATAAAAGAAAATCAGAAAAAAATGTCTTATTTATTCTAGTAAATGAGGACATCCTCAGAAGATTAAATAAGAATAGACTACATGAGAGGTTGGAAAATGCCTCGTAGCTAAATCTGATCATGAATAAATAGAGGACAGCATACATGTAGGACCACTTTTGCAGCGGCTCGAAATACAGGCCAGACATATGCAGGACAAGATGTCCTTGCAAATTCATTTTTAGAAGGTCATATCGAATTTTAAAAGGAAAAAAACTTTATTATACTATCATTTTCTTTTCATTTATAGATTTTTGTATTCAAAAAGATCAGCAAGCATTTTAATTCCTTGTAAAAGATCTATTTAGCGAATTGGGTATTGATTGTTTTATTTTATTTGTCTTTTAAATGTGGCAGGTCAATTTGTCCTTTCAAAACCTGATTTGGCCGGTAATCTGGCAAATTTGAAAGGACATTGTCCTTTGACTGGTCATTATTTCGAGCCCTGCTTTTGTAACGATTATTATTAATGAGATTAAATGCTGATGTACTTACTTCTAAAATCATAAAAATGTTTTCAGCTGTCTCAATAACTTGGTAAAGTTGRCAAACATGTTGATGACATAAATCTTTCATAGCTCCAATTTCCCTTTTAACTCTTGGAAGATCATGCTAAACAGACACAAAATAGAAATATCAATTATATCAAGCTAAAATAATGCATCATTGTCATTTGACAATGACAATTTCAATGATATAGGGCTCTTCAGAARTGTCAAAGCAACACATGAAAACAAGATATTTTGAACAAAAATAGATGYACCAAGCATCAGAATACTACCCAAAAATGATGCCCAAAAATACCGTGTAATCATGAGTGCACCTGTATTTTTTATTTTTTTTTTGGAAACACCCACACATCACGGAAATTGTCTATTAGTACAAGTTCCTCTGTTATTAAAACCGCTATAATTTGCTGCTTAATAATATTCACAAAGGGCTTACCCCTAATGCGATTTTATTCATCATTTTTATTGCAACCTACAAAAAAAGTACTCAATTACATACATGTTGTACATTAATTACAAGCATATAGAATTACAAAATGTATTTTTGTTGATTTAAGTTAGTAAGAGTAAGCTGTTTGTAGACTTTCACCTCTCCAAGGGTTCTTTCAAATAATGATTTTTTTTGTTGCTCGTTCATGGTAAAGGTACAGTAGTTGTGATAATTATTATGTGAAAATAACTAATTGGAGTGAGGATGAGTGAATCTAGAGAAATAGGATAAACTTAATAGCAACAGCTTGACTTTTGTAAGCTACRTCTCTTTCTCTGTGGGTGTTAGGGGTGTTGTGGGTGTTCCCCTTACTTCAAACTACATTGCAGCTTGATGAGGAGTATTTATGGCGCGTACAATGTTCTAACATTTATTTAAACGTTTTAAGGTAGTCTATGTAGGAGAGAAATGCCCAGCATTTATTTGATAAGAGCACTGAGTAACAATTTAAATATTTTTTGTATTCATTAATTCATTACTTTGTAATTCACTACAATATTTTCAAAAGAACTAACCTTTTCTCCTGTTAGCAGATGAACACCAAGCTTAACCTTGGCAAATCCACCTAGTAATAAAGAAATGAAATACAAAACTACTATTAAAGGATTTTCAATGGTTATAACAATTTGATTATCTGACAAATATTMAAATTGACTGATATTCAAAAGCTAGCAAATAATACATTTAGTACAATGTGCATCCATCTGTATTTATTTTCAATAACCATTGAATGAACAGTAGGTCTTTAAATTCATTTTGTAGACACAAAATGGTTAACATCATTAACATTTTTGCATCCATTTAACATTTTCCTCTTGAATTTTGCTGTCTTTACTTTAGATAACAATCAGTGACAGTGCTCTTTCATCTTGAAAATTATAACTATCCTAGTTTTAATTTTAAGTATACATGTAACTTAATCTTACCAGTACAAATTGAGATCTAGTAAAGCAGGAATAGAAGAAAAAAGGAGGGAAAACAATTTTCCATAACAAAAAAATCTGACAGGAATTTAATATTATTGTGATAAAAAATGACACGAAGTTTTAATTATACATGTACAACTGTGGTTTTCATACACTATTCTTAAAAGCAAATTCATCAAAGGTCATATTTTGTGTTTTCAAAGATTTTTTGTCGCATCAACGTTTCAAAGACAAATTCTGAACACTTGGTAATATTTTGGTTTGTATATAAGTAAGTAATTGTTTTAAATTAACGTAAAATTAACGAAATCTAAAAATGAGGTTTTAATTTGTGCATTATTTAATCGTTGGAGATCAGACAACGAAAAAAAAACATCACGTTCTATATCAGAACTAGAATGTTCTGACAGACGGTAGTCACTTTATTCAAAAACATTTTGATAGCCGTACAAATTAAATCAAAACAATGAGCAATTCACTGAAGAAGTCTGTTTCGCTTTGACAAAAACAAAATAAGTTAATTTTTTGACAGTTGATTGCATGCAAGGCCGAATACATTCAAGGCTATGTAGGCTCATATGTCAAGCATCGAAGTTGCTAAATCGATAGTCACATAACGCCTCAAAATCTTCAAATATACTTGCTGAAAAAAATGAATTTGTAATATAAACTGATTAAGTCATGCAATGATCATTTAAAGAATTCTCGTTTTTCTTGCAAGCCAACACCGCATGATGGCACATTGTCAAGCGCGCGCCATCGAAACCCCATGAAAACACTCAGTTTGTACCAAATAATATAGCTTCACGCAGTTAATATTTCTACAAACCTACCGCTTCCAATTGTCTCATGGACTTCGTAGTGCTTTGTTAGYTCTTCTGGGAACGATAAAGAAGGCATTTTTCTCTTCGTTGTCGCTGGTCGCCGTTGGTGTGGCACTCGATCTGGAGATTGTCGGAGATTGCTTGTTCAACTTGCTTGCGTCCTTAGCTCAAAGATCCGCCAATTATTAAGAATATAGCACTTTTATGATCATATAAAGTCCTCCAGGGTATCCACGGAAAGTAAAATGAGGAAGTAGTCCAGACGAACAAAATGATCAACTCGTAAACTCACCTCTGTACTTCGGCTCACTTTACAACTGATCACATTTCGAAGTTTGAAATTCGTTGATTGACGGCCATCTCATGAAATAGCCAATCAGCGTTTAGTTTAAGACAATAGGTGTACTTTTATCAATAAACAATAAAAATTTACAAATTTTAGTATTTTCTGCAAGTTATATCTAATATAAACAAGCCTTKTTAAAAATAGTTATGTTCATAACATGCAAAATTGTAATGCTATACTATTCTGATACAAATTAAGTAATTTATATTCAAAAATCATAGCTTCTTTGGAAAGTAAAGAAAAAAGATCAACATTACTATTCAAATAACTTTTGTTATAATTCTTCTAACATTTCATCTGTCTGCTATTTTTTTTTTAGAAATTCACTTTTAAAAGAACGAGGCAAAAAATAACTAAGGRGGGAGTGGGACGGTGAGAGTTTTCCCAGAGAGACCAAAACAACTTGACATTTTAATAATTGATAGTTATCAGTTTCAAAAGAAAAGAAACAAAACAAAACAATGAAACCTGGTACATAATGACTTACAGTCCATGACTTGACGTTTAATTAACCTTCGATGTAACAAACTACAGCTTCACATGTAAAACAGTACTTAGGAAAACTAGGAATGAATGAATGACCCTTGAAAAGAGAGATATTTCTAAGATGGAATTCAGCTTTATTCTGTTTCTACTTTGTGTCACGGTCGTTAAAGCAAAGAAAGGTAAGGATCTACAAAATTATTACAGACCTAGTGTTGCATTCCGGCAGATTTTCAGAATTTTTCGTCTCATATCAGTTTGCTTACATTTTTTTTCAACACGTTCCAGAGAAGATATTCGAAATTATCTATAGTGTGATCCATTAGCGAGAAAACGTGTGTACCTACCGCTATGATGGGCAGGGCTCAAGTTCACGCGCTATTAGCCTTATAGCCCAATTTTATACACAAAACATTTTGAYTAAATCAAAATTGGATTAAATCAAGGAATGTAATTTTAAAAATATCAACCCAGAAAAATCTTTTCTGATAACACGTGGGCCACAAGTCAAAACTGACGAGGAACCAGTTACGTTCAACGGGTCCGCCATTGTTGTAAACATGGATATGCCAAACGTTAAAACTATAATTTTTAATAATAAAATCCAGCAGTATAACCATTAATGTACATGCATTTATGCTATAGAATCAAAAGGTTATGAAAGTCTTGGGTGCTGGATATCGACACCTAGCCGAGGTGTTGYCGAAGTCATTCCGAGTGTGGAGCAATTAGATGACGAAGAGGACTTAGATGGCGTATACTGGGAAAGGTGCAATAATCATGAGAGTTTTTGCTACTTATTTCTATTTATTCTATTGATATAATAGAATGCAATTTTCCAACAATTTTGTAGAGATCAGGCCGTTCTGAAATGCGCATGGTTCGCAAAGGATCATGGATATGAGGTATTTGCTGTTCGTAGCAGCGGTGAATGTTTGGCTAGTGCCAATGCCTCTCAGGTGTACAAATACTATGGCAAGTCTGATGACTGTCAGGATGGAGAGGGAGGTCATGGTGCCATGGATGTTTATAGATTAAAAGGTATTTTGTATGAAGATATACCGCACCTATTTCATAAAAGTTCATAAAAGTTCATAAAAGTAATGGCAATTGTAGAAAGGAGATTCCACGATCATGGGTTTTGCTAAATTTTTGATGGAAAACAAGGAAATTATATACTGTAATAATATCCATAAATGTCCATTTAGTCTCCATTTCACGCAAGGGGATCCCACAACCTAACCGTAAGTCTCTATCGATCAAGCAATCGCCGTTCTCGATCCCTGACAACGTTTTTTGAAATAGGTTTATGTTTCGACGTTAGTCTCCTCATGAGATTTAAGTCAATCAATTATTTGTTTGGCACTATCAATTATTTGTTTAGCACTCTTCAGATGAACTAGCACAGATAACTCACCGCTATCATAATTTTATGTACTGTGTAGGAAAGCTTCCTGAAATCGCTGTTTTAGAAGGCGACATTTTATTAAACAAAGCCCAGAAGGCCATGGCTATACCGATACCTTTTGGAGACGTTTATAATGATGCAATCTTTAAGAAAGTAGATGAGAACTGGCCTGAAAGAACCATACCGTTCTTTGTGCATCCCAAATACAGTAAGTATACCATATAACGCGTGGGGATATACCAGGAACATGTTTCAGGGACCATGTCAAGTTTCTCTCAAGCTATTCGGAGCTCAATCGAAGACTGTATTACAAGTTACACTCCGCTAAGTGCTGTAAAGCATATCTCATGATACAAATTTTACCTCATTTACTTTTATATAAACTTATATAAACTTCAACTTAAGATTGGGGTGTTGACGCGAAGGGAGGGAGGGCTGTCGGTGTGCTAGCGCAGTATCCTTCCAGGCTCTACCGAACACTTTGCATTAGATCATCAAAAAAGCACAATAAAACGCAAACACAATAAARTATCAAGCTAAATGATACAATAAATCTAGGAAAACGCATCAGTGCCTATACAGGCTGAATACTGAACACTGAATAGTACATTCCAAGAATGCAATGCAACTGACTGTTTTAATGTTGTACTRTCACAGAAAATCATCAGCTTGAGAGAAAACTCCTAGATGGTCTCAAACCCTGGGAGAAGCAGACGTGCATTAAATTTGTACCAAAGAAAAACCACCGTGATTGGGTTGAATTCGTACGCGAGAAAAACCCAAAAAGTAGAAGGTGAATAGTCTGCTTGAACTGTTTCATGCGTCGATATTGAAAGGTTACCGAGACGACCGTTGWGCCTGCAATGATAGACACCTCGAGATAATTATTTACAACATTGCAAGAGCYGTCGTCTCACTTCGATGCAAAGGAGCACGGCTAATACCTTTCAAGATGGTGCAGGGAACCTTAAAATATCCTCTATTATAAGAGCTGGGTTTTTTTTTCGACACTGCTGTAAAATCCCAAGTGCATCCAATAATCTTTAAACTGTTATTGCACAGATACGACAATTCCTGCCATCTTTGAATTTGAACCAATCATATCAGAAAGCACATTTCAACARGAGATTGTTTGTAAAACAAAAGAAATGACCGTAAAGTTTCTTGGATGCACGCTGGTCTTTAATAAATACTGGCACATCTTATGGATAATGGCTGAATTCAGAAATTGAGCCTTACTGATATCTTRTACATCTTAGCCTTCCTTCTGCTATTTAGCCTGATTTTCAGACGGGGCCTGGGTCCTACCCTTCACTAAGTGGGGGTGGAGTGAAGCGTAGGACCCAGGCCCCGTCTGAAAATCAGGCTATCTGCTATTGCGCACAAAAGCAATGCGTTCAAATTGAGTGCAAGTCCACTTTCCGCACTCTTTAATATGACTACACCGTCGTCATTGTCATTATAGGTGTGCCTCAGCTATCGGCCATAACGGGAATAAACAGCAAATGCGTATGGGAGATCTGTGCCCTGCCGGAAGTGTTATACATGAATGGGGTCATTCTATTGGTTTATGGCACACTCACTCTCGTAGTGATCGTGACAAGTACGTAAAGATCTTATGGAACAATATCTTTGGAGGTGAGGCACGATGTCCTAATTATTTAGATTTTTTTCTAACTCAAATATTTCTTTGGGTGTGCATTCGTTACCAAAACGATCATTCGTAGGATACTACTCTTCACTTTAGAGACTGACTAAAACATCACTTAAACCATTATATACTCAAATTAAGCACCCAGCGCCATCTTGAAAGTAGGTTTGACTTTYTATCATAACAAGAAAGTGGTTGATACGCAATATGGATATCTTTTATTCATATCTAGAGGATATTATCCATTCTATTCCAACCGCTGTGTCTCGTTTCGCAAAGGCTCCGTTTACCTTTTTACCTCCATAGGCATAGCAATGTCGTTAATTGAAAAATGGGGGATGRGCAATATGTCCCGATTTCTGTTGCGATGATGTGGCGACTACGTGTGCATAGCTTCCCTTCACCCTCAGAAACCTCTGAACACGATGRCGTGAACTACAAGTCGCGGTCAGAAGATATGATATGATATGTGCATATGATAATTCAATGATAATTACTATAATTTATCTTAAAATTGGTTCATCAGGGTGGAAAAGTCAATTTGAAAAACGCAATTTCAATACATATGGAGTAAAGTATGACTATAACAGYATAATGCAYTATGGGAAAAATTTCTTCGCGAAAGTGTCCGAGGACAAGACGCGTCTTTTGACAACAATCGAGACCTTAGAYAAAAAGTACGAGGACAAAATTGGACAGAGAGAAAAACTCGCCAAAGGAGACATAGACTTTGTGAATACGATGTACGGTTGTCCTGGTGAGTTTATATTAAACAAAATCCTGATCAATTAACCCAGGCAGGATATCATGCAATTCACTAGTCATCTTACCTTGAAAAGCACCATGGGATCAATTTTCGATTTCAATTTTATTTGCAATATATGAGTTATTTTACAAGTGATTWTTAAAGAATAGTTTAATTAAAATATATGAAGGCTATCTATGAACATATAATGAAGAAAGTAGACGACAGTCAAAGGAGCACTCGGTTTTTTTTTTTATAGTTGACTATGGTGATTAACAAGCAGGGTCATAACGAAGTAATGAAAAGAAAAGAAAAGAAAAACAAGGAATGAATGAATGAAAAAAGGAAGAAGAAAAAGGAGCTGAGATAAAATAAGAGAAAGCATCAAAAAATATTTACAAAAAGGATGGCATTATAAAGAATTACAGTAGTATACAGTTGGTTCGATGGGAAAAATTTAAAATTATAATTATAATTTGTGCTTGCAAAAGTACTTTGAATGTTGCTCGATCAGACTGGTTTCTGAGTATTATAGTCTGGTGTGTGTAACCATCATATTGATTGTTATTTAACTTTATTATGTTTTTTGGTATATTACGCGCCAATATTAASGTTTCTGATGYCAACACTTTTCTAGATTTCCCATTTATGTGGAAAGCCAAAGACTGGGGCGAGTGCTCYTCAAAGTGCGGCCGTGGTACCCAAATAAGRGAGTTCATTTGCGCAAAGAATGATGGGAAGAAAGTAGAAGATGTAAAATGCAAAAACACRCGTCGACCTGAGTCAACACGTACATGCTATGGACGAAAATGCAGTAAGCATTGCATGTGGATACTTGATTCTTGTTATCTCTGTCTATTCATTTCCTAGGTTTAATTGATTTTACCTAATATTGAGTAAAGTACAATATAACTCATATTGTGTCTGTCTATGACGTACTACTTCTTATACGCAAATCAAAAAAGATCTTATTATCTATAATAGATTGAAACGTTGTTAAGAGTGAATAGCTATACTGTATAAATCCTGCTGTAAAACTGTTTTTCCTTCTCAGTTCCAATATTGATGAACCTTGCTTAACATCGTGTCATCAATATGCTGGTCATCAAACCAGAAGCGACCAGTATTTCTTTTAATTTTGGACTTTGATTCAGGAGCACGCGCCAACCAACGACCTATTATGAGTCTTTGCTTTCAATTTGGAACGAGTGAACGAGTAATGGGGAAATATCTCGACATCCTTATCTTAAAAAGACAAGAAAATAACACTCAAAAATATTAAAATTCAGACGTTGTTTTTTATATTTCAAGGCGAATGCCCAAAGGAATGGCATAGATTCAAGGAGGCTTGTTATCGACTACAGATCACTAAGGCTGGATGGAAAGAAGCCAGAAAAAGTTGCCTAAGCAAAGGAGCGGATCTTGTATCGTTGCGCAGTAAAGATGAAGATCAAGAATTGAGGAGTTATATCGCAAAGAATGGAAAGGCGCACACTTTTTTCTGGATAGGTAGGTTTATTCCGAGTGCGTCAACATCTATCAGTGTCTGTTGTTGTTGTCTGTTTCTTTAGTGATAGGTCCTGYATTTTCTTTTTAAAATACATAAAGYCTGAATATCTTAACTTGTATAGGGCCGTAGCCAAATTCATTATTCGCGAGAGTGCAAAAAAGAGAAGAAACAGCTTTAACTAACGTTTTAACTAAACGCTGGAAGTTATCCTTGAGAAGCACAGTGTAGCTAGAATGATAAAAGTACGAATGTAGCCGAAGCTGTTTTAACTGTTACACCAGCAAGGAAATTATCTGTTACATTGTGCAATTTTCTCTTGCAACTTACAATATCTTGTGTCCGAAATAAACTGTGAGCCAGAATTATCAAGATGGCGGACAATCGAAATGAGAAATTGCGCATGCTCTAACAGTACAGGTGACTCTTAAATTGCGAAAATTTGCTGAAATGAGTTGCGAATGTCTATACGTACAGGAGCAGAGTACCATCCCGTCGACGGTGCGTTCAAATGGGTCAGCGATGATACAAATATCGAATTCAATGATTGGAAAAAGGGTGAGCCTCGATTTGGTATGGATTGCGCAATCTTGCTAAACCGAAAGTCTTGGGGAACAGACCAGTGTCTAATGGAAAGRAACTACATCTGCAAAAAAGGTACWAGGCATGCACCAAAACATAAATTTTGAATTGATGAAATRTTAGCAGAAAGCAGATTATTTCTAGAGTTCTTAGTAGATCTCAACTCCAGAAACTCATTATCAACAAAAWGTTATTTYTAAAGTTGCTTGARCATTTTTGCCTTTGGAACCCAGCCATTAATAATTCATGCTAARTATAAGTCTTGCCAAACTGTAAGTCTCATTTAGGTTTTGCCCATAGTGGCAATAATCTCATCTTTACTTTCATCATTCTTAAATCACATTGTTC